ATATCATATACACATAGTGTCAAGGACTATTGTAGTTCTATTTCATGGCCCGGCTAGGAGTCGAGCACCTCGACCCGGCTAAAGCTCAGCTCCTCTCAGTCCAGGCTCGGACCATGCCTCGACCCCGCTTTTCGGAGTGCACCTGGTCGATTGGCCATGAGGAGGGCACTGAGCGCAAGCAGCCGAGACCCCGGCATCGCAGCAAAATTCCCCGCAAGGTGCAGGGGGGCGGCTGCCATGGGCCTGAACAAAGTCTCCAAAAATGAGGTGCTATATGCCATTCCCACGGAACACTGAAAAGCAGCACCTTATCGATCTATATGGGGCCGGGCCCCCAAATCACCGGAACCATATCGATCTATATAGGGCTGTGCCTCCAAGCCACCAGCCCCATATCGATCTATATGGGGCTGTGCCTCCGAACCACCGGAACCATATCGATTGATATGGGGCTGTTTCCCCGAAGAACCGGAACCATATAGATCGATAAGGTGCGGATTCGGGCCNNTATGCTCCCTATACATTGCATGGTGCCCCCCTGCCTCCACATGGGCCACGTCGTGGCCAGGGATCACCTGATAATGCGGCTCATGTGGGGCTGCCTCTCTGAGGAAAAGCCTGGCCTTTGGTGGGCACTGCGAGGCCCATCGCCCATGAAGGCATGCAGCATCTCCCTGCCGGCAGACACATTCTACAACCAAGGAAGCAGCTGTTCCTAGCGAAACAAAGCCCACCTCTGCAACAACGTCTGGTGATCGATCGTGTTCGCGAGGGTTGCAATGCCTTCGATGGCAGGCACCGCAGCTCTTGCGAGCTGCTCTCGCTGCCCCCCTCTGGTGCGGGCACGTGTCCTGCAGTCGAGAAAGCTCACNNAGAGACAGGCACCCAGCCACGACACCGGCACACGGACCCCGATGGTGCCTTCCCGCACCTGGAGGCCACAGGGTTCCTGTGTGGTCCAGGAACCCACGGACCTGCACCCCCTTCGGGGCACCACCGCCCTTGCCAGCCCATGGTGCGATCACCTAGGCTGCAAGACCAGGCACATGCTGGTCTGCCCGCGAGCCACAGGCCCTGCTGAGCGAACCAAGTCCCCGGCACGTCCACCTGCAGAGGCCTTTGGCAGCTGCAGCTCCTCTGAGTTTCAAGAGGAGCTGAACACACAGCAAGAATTAGAGGAGCTGAACACACAGCAAGAATTAATATCTAAGTTCCCGGCACCCCGCTGCATGACCATCTGCAGCTGCATCCGTGTGTCCTGTCGGACACACCATGGTGCAACAACAAACTGCTTATGCCACTGCTTAGCGAGCCTCCACCCGAGCCTTTTTCGGCGGTGGCCCCGGAGGCTCTGGCACAGCAGCCTCGGCAGCATGGCTATATATAGATAGTGCCTGACAAATGCATTTGAGATCTGGACACGGTGCTTCTTCTTCGGCACGGGAGCCACCTCAGATGTTGTGTGCACGGATGCACACAAAAGGGCAAAGAAAAAGCCCAGGCAAGTGC